AATAAAATCTTAAAAAAAAAAAAAGAAGTATGTAAAGAGAAGACAGACGTAGGCTGAAAACCAGAGTGCTCCGCACCACAGCCTGACCAGAGGGGGTCTGGGGTGGGCTCCCGGTGAGGGGGGCATGGACACCCAGGGCCATTTGGAGAGATGAGGAACCGGGATCAGACTCTGGGGCTTGAAGCACGGGCTGGAACAGATCTGTACAGACCTCTCTCCTAAGGTGTTCTTACAAACCTGGGAGGCCTGGGGACGAGGGAGCTGTCGCAGGAAATGGGGGAAACCCCGCTGCTGGGCAGCCCCACCCTAGCCGGGGGACGGACGCAGGCTGCAGGTGCCACGGGCGGAGGGGAGGGCACAGGGTGTCAGGGAGCAAGAACTCTTGCCCTTCAATGTCCTTGAAGCTGGACTAAGAATCACATTGCCACGAGGCAGTTTAACAGGAGAAAATCTAATTTAACAGCGTGCGTATGGGATCCACACAAACATGGATGTTCCGGACGGTCAGGCGGCGGGAGGCACACATGTCAGCCTGAACGGAGGAGGAAGGGCCGGGGGTCTGGGACTCTGGAGGGACGCACTTCACAGGGCGACAAGAAGAGCAAGAAGGGCAGCTGTTTGCTGATTAGATGGTTGCCCCGCCATATAGATAAAATGTATCCCTGCTGAGAACCCTTATTCTGGAAAGACCCCCAGTTCAGATTCTTGTATGGAGTTAAGGGAGGGACAAAGTTTCTCCTGAGCCCGCAGGGTCTCAGTTGCCTTCAGCTCAAGATAATCCTCCTGCCAAGCGGCCCCTTCACCCCAGACCAAAAGAAATACCGGAGAGTTCTATCGATTACTTGTTGCTGTGAGGTCCAAACAACTCAGTAACAGCAGGTTGTGTGGTGTCCATCAGGTGTCTCTGTGTACCCCTGAGAAATCTTAAATAAGCCACAAGTGCCCCTGCAAGTTTGCGGAGGCTCCCCAGGCTGCCCCGGCGCACAGTTTGGGAACCATCGCCTGACGATTCTGGGTAATGCCTTTTCTTCTCCTGCATGTCACTCAGGGGCTTACCTGTGATGTAGGTAACCTCGTCACAACTTGAGGGTGCCTTCAACAGAGGGGGCACTGTCTCCATGGACCTAGCGCAAGGGATGGTGGGATGAGGTCACTCTGTCGGGTCCCTCTCGAGTCCCGGTTGCTCTAGGACTGGGTGGACGGTGGACGGTGGACAGAGGCTCCAGGAGAGTCCATTTTGAAGGTGGCAGGGTCGGAGACGAGCTCAGGCCACCCTTCTGAGCTTGTCCTGTCTGTGGCCTGGGCAGGCACACGGGTCTGGGTTTTGTGACTCGTCCTCGGGTCAGCCACACCCCCACTCTGCCTCATGCTGGGAAGGAGACAAGCAACAGTGTCCATCCAACGAGGATCCCCTGGAGGTGATCAGGGATGCAGGCAGAGGCCCAGGGACGATGTAGAACAACTCTGTCCGTTCCCTGTCCGCTGTCCCTCAGTCCAGATGGCACCTCCTCCAGGCGAGGGAGCCCTCGCCTCCGGTGGGCCTCCTCCTGTCCTCGGTCACGGTCCCCCCTGCGTCCCACCCTTTACCTACCCTTGGGGCCTCTTCTTCCTCTGGGTTGCCGGCCTGGCCCCTGCAAGGTCTAGTTGGGAGTGGGGGCCGGCAGGGTCCCACTCGGGTGCTTTCGCAGCCGATGAGAGGGAGGGAAGGAAGGAAGCCCTCTCTCCGGGGGTGGCCTCGCTGATCCCCGAGCATGACCAGCCATCTTTCCCCTGCCCATGCGTCTCCCCCCTGGCACGTCCTCCTGTCCCTCCTGTCTCCTCCTATCCTGTGTGCCACCATTTATGATCTCTATCTTACCAAAGACGAATCTGTGCTCCTAACTTGATCAGATCCTGCTGCCCCATCCCGCCACACAGTCCCAGGAGTGGGTATTTCTCCACGCTCACTTCCCTGGGGCCTCTCTGCGGCACGGCTGTGTCTTCAGCTGCGACCCCTCCTTCCGGGGCCCGCAAGCTCCCACCAGGAAAGGCGGAGAATGTATGGCCCTAAAGACCATCTCTCGCATGCACCGCTGTAAATTGCTTGTAAAACGGTTGCCGGAAACTGGGTTCGCCTCTTGCTGGCGTCGCGAGCCAAAGGGCGTGACCAACCAAGCCCAAGAATAGGACAAGGAAGGTGGTACTTGGAACAAGCAAAGAACACCGGGGATATTTCCCGAAGCAGTGTCTCCTCAAACAACAGAACTGGGGAAGGTTTACGCTAAGGGCACATGCATATTCATGACGGGGTTTGGGCAATGGGGGACGCAGCGCGGACTTGGGGCAAAGCCATCTTAAGGGACAGAGTCCGGGTCCTAGGTGATGGAAGGCACAGGGCCAGCCAGGGTGACACCATCAGTTCTCTGGGTCCAGTTGGTCCGGAATCTGCGTGCTCACGGGGGTTAGATCCTGCAGTGATGACTCAGGAGTGTGTTGGGCCAATCTTTTACTTTTGAACAAGCCCTGGGAGTTTTATCACCGATTGATTGTCCCCGATACCATTAGGCTATCTCCTGGCCTGATGGTAGCTGTTTGTTCTTCCATTCTTTTTTCCCTTAAAATCCTTAACTACTGGGCTCTATTCTTCTGCAGTTTCAACATATCCCAGGAGGTTCTGCAAGAAATGTGCTTTGGGCAAGTGCAGGTCAGGCCCAGAATCCAGGATGGCCCGGGCCTAAAATGACCTTTCGTATGTCCAGAAAGTTGTATCTCATCTTTCTTTTTCTGGGGACCCCTAATTCTCTCTTCTTGCAAAATCTTAGAACAAGAATAAGGCCTGGTAAGACTCTGGGGACGAGAGCCAAAAAGCATGGCAAGGCCCACGACCCTACGACTCCCCCTGATTCACTTTCGAGCCTCCTTGCCGCCAAGGGGGAGGGGACACAGACCGATTGTGTCCTTTACTCTTTGACAAAAGGGAGCCCTTGATTTGCCGGGAGAGCAAGCTCCTCAGCTTGGCTCTCTGCGAAGTAATGTATTGTGTGTTTATATCATGGAGGTTACCATAACTTACATGATTTCCTTATTTAAGGAGATTCAGCAAGTCCGCGGATTTGTTCTTGAGGTCTCCCCTGGGTCTGCGTGCAGGGGTGCATGGTGTGGGGTTGGGCGAGGCGGGGCTGGCAAAGGTCCGGCCTGGGAGGAGACTGCCTGGGGACAGTGGGTCACTCTGCCATCCTGTGTCTTTACAGAGCTTGTCGGGCAGACGCAGTGCTGAGCAACGGGCAGCACTCCCACCAGCTCTGACTCAGTGACGGCTAATGTCTAAGGCCCACGCTTCTCGGCCATACCAGAGGCGCAAGATGTTTTGTCCCCAACAGCAACCAAAAAAAGAACTGAATTTCTTCCACCAGCAGCCCCCGCCACCCGGCGAGGCAGCAGGATACATGATGTGTCCCCCGAACGGTCAGGTCAGAGGGCAGGATCCAGCTTATCTCATCAAGGGGTTCCACTCACTGGCACTGAACCCTCAGCAGCCAGAAGGAAGCAGGGGCCAACAGAAGGCAAAGGTAAGTCATGCAGAGGGACTTCAGGAAGGGTGCGTTCCAGCCGCCGGCCAGAGGTGAGTGCCCCAATCACAGCCATAAACCCACAAGTCTGGTCCAGTCCCACCAGGAAAGCCGGTGCCCCGCAGTCTCCCAGGCACCTGCAGCAAGCCCCAGGGACGTACCCGATCTCTGAGGCAGCAAGCCTGGGGCTTCTGTTCCCTCCCTCCCAGGGGAGATTTCCTGCAGCTGCTGTGGTCACTGCCACCATTGCTAACCCACCCCACTCCCCACCCCACCCCTGCTCGGCAGCCCAGGGCCTGGCTCCTGTCCTCCCTCTGGCCAGGAGCTCCCACCCCTGCGCGCTTTCTCCCTGCTCAGTGAGGCACCTCCCAGCCAGCTGGCCCCACATCAGCAGAAGCAAAGCCTCTGCAGGAAGAGAACACGGGCACCTCCCGGAGGCCCTCCTACCTCCTGCCTGCACCCCAACATCAGTGGAGGTACACATTCTGCCCCAAATTCCCGGTGATGATGGGAATCCTACCTCTTCCAGGGCCCCGAGCACAGCCTGGCTAGCCAGTACGAGGAGAAGGTGCGCCCCTGCATCGACCTCATCGACTCCCTGCGGGCGCTGGGCGTGGAGCAGGACCTGGCCCTGCCCGCCATCGCCGTCATCGGGGACCAGAGCTCGGGCAAGAGCTCCGTGCTGGAGGCTCTGTCGGGCGTCGCCCTCCCCAGAGGCAGCGGTAAGCACCCTGGCCAGCTTCGCTTCGCAGCCTGCTGGGCCACCCGCAGGCCACAGAGCATCCCTGGGGGGCCAGCAGCTTCAGAGACAGGCCCTGGAAGGCTTAGGTCTGCAGCGCAAGGCCTGGGCTGGCTGGCGGAGGCGGGGAGGGGGATCCCCTGCGGCCCCCGGGTTTCTGACCCCCTTTTACATCAGTAGCTCTCCCTGGGCCTGGGTCAGTCGAGGCCCAGGGACCTTGCGTGTTTTTCCAGTGGTCTCTGTAAAGAGTGTAGAAACATTTCTTTGACCACGTTGAATTTCTAAGTCTCAGGGGACATGTGAAAAATTTTCTCAACGTTTGGAAAAGCGATTCGCCAGGATCGTAGTGTGATAAGACACACTGTTTTCCTTGAAAAAAAAAAAAACTAAGTGTGTATAGAGTCAAAAGGCTGCTGTACGTTTATGATTTAATAAAATAAAGGGGAAAAGGAAGGGAAGAAAGAAATGGTGCCCTCCAGGTGGGTTGGAGGAGGCTCCGTCCGGGTCCCTGGCCCTGAGCCCTCTCCTGCCAGTGCGACCGTAGCCCAGACCCGACCGGAACCCAGGGGTCGGGGGCCACCGATGCCGTGTCATCTGGGCTGCCCCTGGGCACAGAGGAGGGTGTGGGGACCCCAGAGGGCTGTCCAGGTCCTGCACAGCCCCCATCAGCCGCTGCCGCACCAGGCACCCCGGCCTGTGCCCTCTCCTGGCCACTGGCAGCCTGGTCCTAGACGCCAGGGTGTCCTGTGAGGTCCCCGTCAGCCCAGCCGGGCACGTGATGCACGAGGGAGGAAGGGTCTGGAGTGGTCGCTCCTCTGCTCTGCCCTGGGCTCCGCATTCTGGGGGGAAGTGCAGCATGGTGGAGGGTCCGGGTACCAGTGGCATGCCTGTGACTCTGGCGTGTCCCCAGGCTGGAGGAGGAGATGATGCTGGCCCTTCTGGGGCCAGGAATATAGAGGACACATGCGGTGCTCGGGGCCTCGCCACAGGAACGCCCAGCCCCGAGAAGCAAGGGGCAGTTCCAGCCTTGAGTCCCAAGAATGCCCTTGAACCCCCTCCTTCGGATGCCCAGACTCTTGCCCTGGCTCTAGCTACCTTCTCCCCGCACCCTCCAACCCCAAGTGTGAGGGGCTTGGAGGGGGTGGGACAGGTCTCACCGCTCCACACGTCCATCTGTCCTCTGCCCTCTGCCCTCTGCGGCCGCCTGGACAAAGGCTCGTCCCACGGCCAAAGCCCGACTGAGACTCCAGCCCAGGCATCCTGGGGAGCCCTCAGATACACAGAGCCTCAACTCGGGCTTGTGTGGCTTCCAGAGCAGCACAGCAGGGACAGTGGCCCTGGTCGGCCTGGAGGCTCAGTGACCACAGAGCACAGGGCCCCCGGGGCAGGGGGGCAGCTGCAATGCCTCTGTCCTAGGACCTGGGCACTTCCGTGCCGCCCGATCCAGGCCCCCATCGCTCCCCAGCCCTGGAGAGGGGCTGAAATCTCAGACGGGGACTCTGGGAATGCCGGGGCAGCTCCTTGGGGGGTGAGGGGAAAGGGCACCCGCGAGCCCTTCTTTTCAAGGGAACTTAGAATGTTTGGGACACTGTCTCAGGGATTGTGACCAGGTGCCCGCTGGTGCTGAAGCTGAAGAGGCAGCCACACGAGAGCACGTGGAGGGGGAAGATCAGCTACCGCAAGACGGAGCTCCAGCTCCAGGACCCCTCCCAGGTGGAGAAGGAGGTCCTCAAAGGTAGGAGGCCCCGGGGGTCTGCAGGTGCGGCTCTGGGGGCCGCTCCCTGGCCGTCCTGGCTCCTTCTCCGCCTCCTGGTCATCGGGCCTCTTCCTCCCAGGCTCTTCCGTGTGCTGGGCCTCCTCCCTCGCACGCCATCCCCTCCTCTGGGAATTGCCCCCCGCAGAACGCCCCACCCCCGTCCGGGCCATGGCTCTGCAGATTATTAAAGCGGATTTGGAACGTGGGGGGCTCCATGTGACTGATAGCGAACATAGCCTCTCTCCGTGACTTCCAGGCTCAGCTCCCCAGGAACCCCATGTCTGCAGGCCTCAAATGGCTCGGCAGAGGGATCTCCTGCAGAACGGAGAAGTCCTGCTCCCGGTTCTTGTGCTCACCCCTGATGACCACCCCACCAGGCGGTCCTGGTGAAGGGTCCTCCAGCCCTGATGCTCCAGGACTCGCTTTCTGTTCCACGGTGGATCCGTGGCTAATTCCAAGAGGAGGAGGAGGAGGAAGGAAGGTGTTGAGGAGAGAGGCCACACTGGGGGACAAGGCCAGGTGACGGGGGAGCATCGTCCTTATGTCTCCATGCTTCCCCTTGAGCCGGTGACCAGTGACCTCTGTGTCCTTGTCCTTGGCATGTGTGTCCCACGACGTTTTCCATCGATACTGCCCCCTCCCCCTCACCTAGACCATCTAAGCTTCCTTTCATTTCTGGATTTCCCTGGCCCTCATCTGGTCTGCAGCAGCGACTCTGCCTGGGGGCTTGTTGGCACTGCAGAGTCTCAGGGAGACACCCCAGACCTGCCCAGTCAGAATCTGGACTTGAACCAGGCTCCACAGTGGGTCCCCTGCACTCAGAGTGCAGGGCCAGCTACGTGACTCAGGCGCTCAGTGCAAAGTCAGACTGCAAGACCCGCCCCCAAACCCGTTCAGAATTACCAAGAATTACAAGACCATGAAAGCAGATTAGTAAGCCAGGAGAGGGGCCCCTCTGAACATGGGGACAGCTCAGGCCCCACGCACATGAAGCGGGTCCTTGCTCTGAGATGTATGCACGAGACATCTTAGTCGGTCCCTGTTCTGGTTGTGACGTGAACAGCCTGTGGGAAGACTGTTTTTTTCCAGCTCACCTACAGGGGTGCTCCCAGGAAGGGACGAGATCCCCTTGGCATGTCTGGTGGCCCCTGCCTACCCGAGGGCATCTGGACATCACTGTGGGTGACAGGCAAGCGAGGTGCACGCACAGCCGGGCAGCTGGGCAGATGGTGGAAGTGCGGGGTGGGGGGAGAGGGGAGGAGAGACTGTCTCAGCTCCGCCCACATGTCCTCCTTCCGGCCTTGAGATTTGCTCTGCGAAGCTCTCGTGGGGATCCCCGGGGCCCACATCTGCACGTCTGTCCTTCCTCCCCGCACCAGTCTTAGCTTGCAGATGTGATGGAGGCTCCCTGTCGATGGCACAGAGGGTCCGTCTTTACGGACACTTGGGTTTTCATGACAGTTGTGTGCACCTTCCAATTTCCGACCCAGCCCGGCCGTCCACTGGCCACCCTCTAGGAGGACGGAGACCGTCCTGCCGCATCAGCAGAGCTCGAGGCCAGCTCAAAAAGAAAAAAGTCACACACCGTCACTTCCGCCATCTCTGTCTTTAGACAGAGGTCCCTACGCCCAGCCCCCCGCGCAAGGGCTCACTTTTTGGAGGGGAGAGTATGGAAGAATTTGTGGACGTATTTGAAGCCGCTACAACACTTACTGGGAAATAGTAAAAAGCATAAAGAAAGAGAACAGAACCCATCCGTAATCCCACTGTGAGCATGTGGTATGCTTCCCGCCAGGCTTTCGGAGGCTCTGTGTGTTCAACAGCCCCCCGAGGGGCCTCAGAGACCACTCCTCGGGCCTCTGTGAAGTGTTTCCTGAGCACCAGGGGCTCTCGGAGGCTCCTACAACTGCTTTTCCTCGGATGGGTCGTTAATCTGGACCCTGGGTTTCCCCTCTCTCGGCCTCCACAGCCCAGAACACCATAGCTGGGAATGGAGTTAGCATCAGCCATGAGCTCATTAGTCTGGAGATCACCTCCCCTGAGGTTCCGGATCTGACCCTCATTGACCTTCCCGGCATCACCAGGGTACCTGTGGGAAACCAGCCCCAGGACATTGGACTGCAGGTGAGCTTTTCTGGAACTTGGGAATGGGCCAAGCTGAAGATGGGGAGACTTCTAGGTCGCTGTGGGCAGCCCCAGGGGCTCTGGAGCACCTCCCCTGCCCTCGTTCTGAGTGGTTGGGGAGGAGACTGGGGGAGCAGTGCCCAGGGCACAGGGGGCAGAAGCTGTCACTCCCCGACGCTCTCCAGTGGCCCCACGTCCATCAGCATGAAAGCTGCCAACGTCCAGTCTGCTCTGGCCCCACTAGCTCATTGGCCGCATCTCTCACTGTGCCCCGTTCCTCACCTGCGCCAGCCACACCGGAGTCCTCGACGGTCCTCGAGCACTCCAGCTTTGCACCTTCTCTTCCATCCCTCTGCCCAGATTTCCACATGGCACATTCCCCTACTTCCTCCAGAGCTCTCCCAAATGCCACCTTTTCCGGGATGCCCTCCCTGATGCCCAGTACCCCGCACCAGGTCCTTCCACCGTCCCTGTTGAGTGTCTGCGTTTCCTCCTGGGACAAAAACCCCAGAGGGACATCACCTGTGTGTTCAGTGCTGAATCTCTATATCCTGGAAAGGACCTACCACCTGGGGGTGCCCGTAATGTTCGTTGCATGAACTGAAGGTGAAGAAGTGTGTTTCCCATAGTGGTTCCTACCCCAAGCCTGTTTTCCCCCCAGGGACATCAGCAATGTCTGAGACATTTATGGTTGTCGCAGCTTGGGAAAGAGGGGCTGCTACCGGCATCCAGTGGGTGGAGACTAGAGATGCAGCTGGATTTTCTATAATGCACCAGCTGGCCCCCCCCAGCAAAGAGCTGTCCATCCCAGATTGTCCCACAGTGCTGAGGTGGAGAAGCCTGGATGGTCTGTTCCCTTGCAGACATCGCAGAACAGGTGCTATGCAAGGGTGTAGCCGAGGGGATAAAGACCAACAAGAAGACACTTAAGGACAATTCACGTTTAACGTGAATTTATTCTATAACGTTATTCCATAACGTGAGTTTATTCCATAAACTCGCTTACAGAAATTGATTATAACTTTACTCAGTGAAATTTTCCCACGGCTAAGACCTAACTGGTCCTGTTTGTATTTGTCATTTTTATTTGACCCCAGCACTTAATTGTTTATAGGATGCTAGGCTGCGCTTACGTGATGCGAATTTCCTGTTTGTGTCTATGCAGTGTTATTTTCTGTGTGCAACTTAAAATAATTTTATGGGGCATCATGAGAGCAAAACTATGTGTGAATTGTACCAAAATATTAAAAAAAAAATATGTCCCTAGGTGCCAGACTTTTCCATTTTGGTTTGTATTGTCCATGGGGAATAATATTTTTGAAATTTGAAATGTAAGGCTTATGCTGCCCACATCTCTCTTTGCCTACAGATTCTAAGAAATTTTATTGGATTTCTCTAATCTGAGTGAGCTAGACCCCTCCCAAGAACAAACTCCAGAAAAAGACATTAATATTAGGAATGAACACATGTAGAGATATTATTGACATCAGATACTATTGTAGCAGGCATTGAGCACCTGCCACTTGGGGCCCCATGTGGGACTCGGCATGGGATACTGAGCTGACACATGAGAGGTCACAAAGGTACCCCTCGGCTTCTGAGGCAAATAGGACACATACACAAACACTGTAAGAGAAGGCAGACTCTCAGAAGCATCAGAGAGATTTGGAGAAGAAGGAGAGGTCTAGTCTGGCTACAGGAATCAGAGAGTCTGTGGGAAAGAAGACATACCAGCGGTGGGGTTTGAAGGGAAGTAGGAAATCAACAGAGAACCCAGAAAGGGCAGATGGGGCAGGCATGTCCGAGGAAAGGGGTTGGCCAAGTCAGCGCCCAGAAGTGCGAAAACTGGGTCATGCTCTTGGAAATTGGCTTTTCGCAATCACACCTGTCTAGCTGTGTTGTTGGTTGACCAGAGATGTGCTCTTCCTTTGTGTGATTTTTTTTTTTTTTTTTTTTTGCATCAGATCAAGGCACTCATCAAGAAGTACATCGAGAAGCAACAGACGATCAACTTGGTGGTGGTCCCCTGCAACGTGGACATCGCCACCACAGAGGCACTGAGCATGGCTCAGGAGGTAGACCCTGATGGAGACAGGACCATAGGTAAGAAGAGAGAACCAAGCTTGCAGAGGACAGGAAGGAAGGGGGAGACTTCTCATATATTTAGAAGGTTCCGGAGTGTAGCACTATTAAAGACAAGTTCTACTCCCCGCAGAAGCTCCATGAGCTCAGGGCGCCTTCACACACTGCAGATGGCAGTCTCCCCTCAGTCAGGGTGAGGGGTGTGGCCAGAATTTGGAGGTTCTTCGTCCTCCTTCCTCTTGGCCCTCATTTGCGTTCACAACCCCTTCTGGATCGGGGGCAAGAACTGCCTTGTCTGCTCTCCCATAATTATCTGGAAAGGAGAAAGTGACCGGCGCATCAGCCCTACCATTCCACAGGTAAAGGTCTTGGGACCTGCTGGTACATGGAAAGGGCCTTCATCAGGCCCCAGTGAACATTCTACTGGGCTGATGTTGGGGTGCGAGAGTCTGCAGCGTTGGTATTCAAGCAGAAGTCTTCGTGGGGAGCTGGATTCTCTTAAATTTCTTCTAAAAAAAAAAAGTCACCCTGGGACTTGTTATAGGGAACTTGGTTTAAGGGTGCACACAGTCTGGGTTTGAATCCTTGTTCTAGCCCTTACTGGCTACAAAGCCTTGGGTAATATATTTAACCACTCCTGGCCTCACTGTCTTCATCCATGAACTGTTATCACAGTCACACCTATGTGTTGGGTGGTTGGGAGGATTCCATGAAGAAATATCGTATAGGATGGTCCTTGGGGCTATGCATGTAGTATTTTCTCAGCAAATGAGAGCTGCTATTTTTTTATTAGTAATATCATCACTCAACATCACTTCGTCACCAGTCATTCCACCTACCCAGAGAGTTGACCCTCCTGAAACTTTGCAGGTCATGTCCCTGACAAAATGCAAACTCGGCATACAATTGCCTTTCCCTTTTCTTCCAAAATAAACGCCTGGTTTCCCAGTAAGGATAGAAATGAATATTAGGGGCATAGACGTCAAGCATAACGTTTCACTCTGTGCTAGATCACCCTCGTGCCCTGTTAGCTGTCGACTTCTGCAAGCATCACCAACACACCGACCCAGAGAGAACACTCAGGCTTTGGGTCACTGCTCATTGTAGCTCTGTGCTCTTTGTCCTCTCTTGATCCCAAGTCAGGAAGGATGTCTCACTGGTGACCACAGTAGGTAACATCATCTATCTCATAGGGTCAGCTATCTGGATATTGATATGTTTATAGAACGGGGGCGACCAGGAGTTAGTGGGTGAGTACAGAGCTTCAGTTCTGCAAGATGAAGTGAATCCTATTGGGTATTGGGGGGGGGGGCGTGGTTCACAACCGTGAGGATCCCGAATGCCGCTGAACCATCCACTTTAAAATGGCCCAAACGGTAACTTTTATGTGATGTAGATTTTACCACAATTTTTAAAGATACACGATTTTTAAAAACAGGTTAACCGAAGATGGAGTGAAGGAGGAAACATCCTATTTTCATTAGTTAAATTATTCTCTTGCACACACGAGTTATGTGTATTTTGCCACATTTTTTAAAAAAGAGAACTGAACGCCTATCTATATAGTACTTCCAAAGGGTGAAAAGAGAACAAGGCTGATGACTAAGAGTAGTGGTTTACATAATGCCAAGGTTCAGAAAGAACCGGGAGCTGGTACATTTGCAGGTTGTCCGCGAGCCGGTCCCCCCGCCCCACAGCTAGATGCCCACTGTCCACTCAGCCAGCAGATTGTCCGCGAGGCTGGTCCTCCCCCACCACCCAAAGCTAGATGCACACTGTCCACTCAGCCAGCAGGTTGTCCACGAGGCCGGTCCTCCCCCGCCACCCAAAGCTAGATACACACTGTCCACTGAGACAGCAGGTTGTCCGCGAGGCTGGTCCCCCCGCCCCACAGCTAGATGCCCACTGTCCACTGAGCCAGCAGGTTGTCTGCGAGGCCAGTCCCC